GCATAAGGGGCACGCTGCGTATGGGGGCACGCTGCGTAAGGGGGCACGCTGCGTAAGGGGCACGCTGCGTAAGGGGCACGCTGTCTAAGGGGCACGCTGCGTAAGGGGGCACGCTGCGTAAGGGGCACGCTGCGTAAGGGGCACGCTGTCTAAGGGGCACGCTGCGTAAGGGGGCACGGTGCGTAAGGGGCACGCTGTGTAAGGGGCACGCTGCGTAAGGGGCACGCTGCATAAGGGGCACGCTGCGTATGGGGGCACGCTGCGTAAGGGGGCACGCTGCGTAAGGGGCACGCTGCGTAAGGGGCACGCTGTCTAAGGGGCACGCTGCATAAGGGGCACGCTGTGTATGGGGCATGCTGTCTAAGGGGCACGCTGCGTAAGGGGCACGCTGTCTAAGGGGCATGCTGTGTAAGGGGCCACGCTAAGGGGCACGCTGTGTAAGGGGCCACGCTGTCTAAGGGGCACGCTGTGTAAGGGGGCACGCTGCATAAGGGGGCACACTAAGGGGGCTTTAGCTCCAGGTTCTTGTTTCCAATGAGACTCAGGCTCGGTGCGACGTTTAAAAGCCAGAAATCTGAACAACCACTGACGGGAGGATGCTGGAACCCCCCAGAAATAGGTACCCCGTGTCCTAAGACAAAGAAGCAGCCATGACAGGATGGGAGGAGAGGTGCAATCACGATAAAAATCAAATGGGTAGGCGACTCAGAATCTGGAGAACAGTAATACCAAAGAAGTTCTGGCATTGTTGTGAAGCTTCCGAGCCTCAAGTCAGGCTTCCCAAACTGGAATCTGCAAAGGGACTGGGGACCCCCAGGGAGTTTGACTCTGAAGGCTAGTGGGGTTTGATTACACGATTTCCACAGGACTGGGGAAAACAGAGCCTCCGGTCTCAGCACAAACAAAGTCTCCTGTGCCCCAAGACCCAGGGTGAAGGAGCAGTGACCTCGCAGAAGACGGAACCAGACCTGCCTGCTAGCACTGGAGGGTCTCCTGTGGAGGTGAGGGTGGGCAACGGCTCACGGAGGGGACAAGGGCGCATGGAGCAGCAGCCCGGGAAGGGGTCGCTTGGCGGAGACCCTCTTGGAGGTCGCCATGAGCCCTAGCATAGAGCCTGTGCCTCAGGCCAACCACCAGGAAGGGACAGCAACCCCAGCCATCAGCAGGTAACTGAATTAAAGTTCTACTGGGCAGGGAGGGCCCTGCCCACCAGAGCGAGACCCAGTTTTTCTCACCACCAGTTCCTCCCATCAAAAAGCTCATACAAGCCTGTTGGCCTCATTTACCAGAGGGCAGACAGAAGAAGCAAGAAGAACCACAATCCCGCAGTGACTGGAAACAAAACCACATGACAGAAAGTAAAGCAGGGTGAAAGAGCAAAGGGTTTTATACCAAATGAAGGGATAAGATAAAACCCCAGAAAAACAGCCAAATGAAGTAAAGATATGTAACCTTCCAGAAAAAGAATTCAGAATAATGATAGTGAAGATGATCCAGGATCTTGAAAAAAGAATGGAGGCAAAGATTAAGAAGATGCAAGAAATGTTTACCAAAGACCTAGAAGAACTAAAGAACAAACAAACAGAGATGAACAATATACTGGAAGGAATCAATAGCAGAATAACTGAGGCACAAAAAAGGATAAGTGACCTGGAGAACAGAATGGTGGAAATCACTGCCACAGAACAGAATAAATAAAAAAGAATGAAAAAAAAAAAAAATGAAGACAGCCAAAGAGACCTCTGAAACAACATTAAATGCACCAACATTTGCATTATAGGGATCCTAGAAGGAGAAGAAACAGAAAAGACCTGAGAAAATATCTGAAGAAATAGCAGCTGCAAACCTCCCTAACACGGGGAAGCAAATACTAAACCAAGTCCAGGAAGCAGAGCGTTCCCAGCAGGATAAGCCATAGGAGGAACACAGAGAGACACGCAGTAATCAAAAATGACGAAAATCAGAGACAAAGATAAAATACTAAAAGCAACAAGTGAAAAACGACAAACAACATATAGGGGAACTCCCATCAGGTTATCAGTTGATTTCTCAACAGAAACCCAACAAGCCAGAAGGGAATGGCATGGTATATTTAAAGTGATGAAACGGAAGAACCTACAACCACGAATACTCTACCCAACAAGACTCTTGTTCAGATTTGATGGAGAAATCAAAAACTTTTCAGACAAGCAAAAGTTAAGAGAACTCAGCACCAAAAAAATAGCTTTAAAACAAATACTAAAGGAACTTCTCTAGGCAGGAAACACAAGAGAAGAAAAAGACCTACACAAAATAAACCCAAAACAATTAAGAAATTGATAACAGAATCATAAGTATTGATAATTACCTTAACTGTAAATAGTGTACCAACCAAATTCATAGACTGGCTGAGTGGATGAGAACATGTTCATGTATGCAGTTCTACTTGCCACTTCACTCTACTTAACCTCCCAATTGTATGTAATTATTTTATATTGTTAGGTTAATCATGTTCCCATTATGGCTTGAGATCATAATTATCTTTTGTTTTTTGTCTGGGTATTAATTGTGAAAACCAATAAACATCTTTTACTATTGTGATTATGTAACTATCATTCACTTAATATCATTTGTATCATGATTAGTCAACAGAAAATAGAATTCTGTATCACTAAAACTACCATTTGATAGAAAAACCTGAGTCTACTTTTTAAAATTCAGATGCATAACAGGATTATTTTGAATTTTTTTGAAAAACACAAATGCCCAGGTACTGCTATTCTTCTCTAAAGCTCCAGATGCATTTCTTTTTTTTTTTTTAATGTTGTTTTATTTTTATGTTTTTACAGATTTTTTAAAGCTTTTGGCTGCACTGCATGGCATGTGGGATCTTAGTTCCCCAACCAGGGATCAAACCCACACCCTTTCCAGTGGAAGTATAGCATCTTAACCACTGGACCAACAGGGAAGTCCCCAGATGCATTTCTAATCAGCAGCCATGTTTAAAAACTGGACTAAATGAAAACATCATGTTGTACATGTAAACATATACAATTTAAATTTGTTAATTATACCTCAATAAAGCTGGAAAAAAGATTAATGTAAAAATATAATAATGTAATATATTATTAATATATAATATAATAATGTAAAATATGCATATATACAGAGAGTATAGATTAGAAAGACTTAAGAAACATTAACCAAACCAAACGCAAGGCAGTGTGTGAACCTTGTCATTATTGTTTTGAACATATCACAGAAAAATACATTTTTTTTAGAAAATTGGAGGAATCTGGACACCAAGTGGACGTTTGATGATAATAAGAGATTATTTTTTAGGCATTTTTAGGCATAATGATGGCATTGGGACTATGCTAAAAAGAATCCTTAGTTGTAGTCACACTGAAGTATTACACAAATACTGAATTATTTACAGATATAATGATACAATGAATGTCTATATTAAATAATCTAGAGTGAGTGAGTTGGAGAGTGGAGGAGGTATGGACAAAACAAGATTGACCAGATGTTAACTGTTCTTAAAGAAGGATGATGGGAATGTGTGTATGGGGGTTATAGTCTTCCTTCCCCTTTTCTGTATTTGAAATTTTTTAGTAATAAAAACTTTGTTAAAAAAATAAAATAAAAGCCAGAGATCTGGACGCCCAGGCTTTGATACTGGCTCTGAGGGATCTGAACGCTGCTACAGGGCACATGTACCTTGTTTGGGGCCGGGTGTGGTCAGTGAGTCTGCAGCCTCTGACCGAGACGGCAGGGAGAAGGGCATCTGAGCAGAGGCTGCAGGAGGGCAGGCAGAAACCGCGGCTCAACAGCTTCCCTGGTGGTCCAGTGGTTAAGAACCCACTTTCCAATGCAGGGGACTTGGGTTTGACCCCTGGTCGGGGAACTAAGATCCCACATGCTTCGGGGCAAGTAAGCCAGTGCCGTGTAACTACTGAGGCACTGCGCTCCGGAGCCCGTGCACAGAGAGCCTGCACAACTAGAGAAGTCCGTGTGCCCTATGAAGACAGCACCGTGAAAAAAAGCCAGGGGCTCAGTCTGTCTGCGGCTGGGAAGGAGAGCTGGGGGACATGGAGACAGCTGTGCAACCTTGGCTGAGATATTGAACCTCTCCGGGTCTCAGGTTCCTCATGTGTAAAAAGGCACCACCTCATGGTTGTTGCTCCACTGCAACAACACATCAAAAGCCCAGAAAAGTGCTGGCTGCCTCCGGGGTTCCCCGGTTTTCCCAAATGCACTGTGCTGACACCTTTAACTTAGGATCTGAAGTTCCTGGCTTTAGCGACAGAACAGCAGTGATACCTGAATGGCCCTTTGGAGCTGACCAGGTATTTTCAAGCCCATCCCCTCTCACTCTTCCCCTGCTTCACTCCTCATCACAGCACTTACCACCCACTGAAATGCTCTTTAGTTTGCACGCTGTCTGCCCTCCTCCACTAGAATGGAAGCCCTGCCAGTGCAGGAACACTGCCCCCCTGGTCCAGGCACTGCCCAGAGCGGACAGCCTACCCTGGAACACAGCAGCTGCTCCATGCAAGTGTTCTGAATGAATGAATGTGTAACAGCTCATTTACTCATCACAAAGACTTTGTGGAGTGAATGGTGTCATATTATTATCATCACACCCTCAGCCCAAAGATTTAAAAACTGAGGTTAAGATCGCCCGAGCGACCTGGAGACCTTTGCTTGGCCAAGAGAGGGCAGGGCAAGGATGCACACTCGGGCTCAGGGCTGCCAATCCCACCAACTTCTCACCACTCCCTCCTTCCACACTGGGAAGAAGAATAGCTCCTTCCTCAACCGGCCAGCTGGGGCTCCAAACCTCAGGGAGCCTGAAAACCCCACTCAAGATTCTTAGCAAGAATGGCCAGGTACCTAGACGCGGGTCCTGAGCTTGCCAGGGGCCTGGGGAGGGAGGGCAAGTGGGTGGCCAGCTCCACCATCTGGTTTCCAGGGAGGAAGGGGACGGTGGGGAGGGGCCCAGGCAGGTCTCCTACCTTGTTGATGCTGAACTGCCCCTCGAAGCGGCAGCCCACCCCGTTGTTCAGTGGGATCTTCATCGAGTTGTCGATGTGCCCCACTTCATGCCTGCCCATCTCATCCTGGATGTCGAGCCCGACCACTGCAGGGGAACAAGAAGAGAAGAGTCACGGACACCCAGAGAAACAGGGACCCCTCATGCATCCATTGGATGGCCAGGCAGGGCCCCCAGCCACCCAGGAGCTCACAGTCTAGGGCCGCAGTCTAGAGTCAGAGAGAGGAGGAGAAAGGGGAGGCTGGAGCCAGAGTGAGGAAGCACACAGCGTTCCTGTCCCCTGCCACTACCAGCGCCAGCTAGAGAGCCGGGGGAGGCAGCAGCTAAGGGTGCAGGGGTGAGGACTCTGCTAGCCTCAAGGCTGCAGGGGGTTAGCGGAGGGCCAGGCTTAGAAGGTGTCTTAATCCTGGTCTGGCCTTTTACCAGCTTGCGACCTTGGCTAAGGCACTTCACCTCTCACGTCTTGGTTTCCTTCCCTGTAAATGGGGAGTGGAGGGGTAGGGATAATAATGAAAGCTTCCTTGGAGAATCACAAGGGTCAGATAATTAATATGTGTTTAAAATGCTTACAATGGGCCTAGTGCTCAGTAGGTGGCAAGTACCTCACGGACGTCAGCACTTACTACATCTCAGTCTCTGTGTCCCCTGGGCATCCTTCAGGCTCAGGCAGTCATTCATTCACAGCTCACACCTTCCTTTACCCAGTGCCTGATCCTGCCCTCTAGGAGCATGGGCACGTTTCTGAGTTCCTCAGTGCACTTAGAAGGGAAACCTGGGGCCTGGAGTCCTGGTCCTGGCTCCAATATGACTCTCCATCACCTACTATGACTCAGCTTCCCAATCTGCAAAATGGGCAGGCTCAGGCCAACTGTATTCCCTGAGATGGTTGAAGCAGCAGGCGCGGGGTCCCTGTAAACTATGGAGACGCAGAGACGGCCTTGACAGGAAAGCTAAGAAAGCAGGTTGTGATACAGAGAAAGAGCAGCTGGAAGCAATTTTCAGTGAGCCGACTATTTTCTCCTTAAGAAAGGAAAAATGGGAAGAACCTGTATTACTCAATGGGGGACGGAAGGACAAGAGGGCCCATCCATAGAAGGGAGTGTGATGCACTATTAAAAATGATGCTCCCGGGTCTGTAGTATGTGGGAAATGCTGATGTCGTAATGTTCGGATTAAAGGAAACACAAGCAGGTCTCCGTTTGACTCAGCAGTTCCACCTCCGGGGAGTTCATCCCCCAGATGCACGGCCATTGAGACGAGATGCAAGGCTCCGGGCAACCCGGTTTGGAATCATGACGACGGGAAGCAACCCAGCTGCCCACCAGTGGGGGACTGGTCAGTGGCACAGCCCCTCCAGGATGCTGTGTGGCGGGGGCAAGGAGACAGCTCAGCCCACATGCAGGGAGGCAGCCTGAGCGCTGGGGTGTCCCGTCCTGCCTGGGGCTCCTGGCTCTGCCCCCGCTGGCCACAGCACCTTGCACAAGTTAGCCAACCTCTCTGTGCCTCCTAGGCTTGTGATGACTAAAAAAAGTTAGAACTGACTATGGGCTAGACCCTCTTCCAAGTGCCTTTTCCAAGAAAAGATACCCTTTGAACATCCCTGTGGGGAAGATATTATCATCAGACCCACCCTAAACTAGGGGACACTGGGGCACAGAAAGGTTAAGTAAGTTGCCTGAGATCTCACAGCTACAAAACAATGGCGCTTGGACGGAAACCCACAGAGTCTGGATCCAGATTCTGGCCACTCTGTGAGAACACCTCTCACCTCAACGCGCTCACACAACCAAGGGATTCGGGACAGGGCCTGGCCCCGAGCAAGGGCTGAATCAAAGGCAGCTGTGCTTATTATTTTACCAATATTATGAGTAATATAAGAGCCCCAAGATACAAATGGAAAAAACAAAAAATCTCAGAAAGGTCCCCTGCAGTTTGGTCCCAATTATGTTAAAAAACAAAACAAAACAACGATCAAACATGACCTATGTCTGCAGACAGACAGACAGACACACAGGGGTGGGAGGAGGATTCCTCCAGGTGGCTGGCATGTGGAATGAACTTGTTTCTTTTACATTTTTTTAATGTTACTTCTGTATTTTGAACTCATATCTTTTTTTTTTTTAAGGTATCCCTGTATTAGTTGTGTAACAGAAAAATATTATTTCTGAAAGCAGGATGTGAGACTGCACAGGCAGCATGATCTCAGCCATGTTCAGAAGCACAGGGAATGGAAGGCCAACCGGATGGAGCGGCGTCAAATGTCAACTGATGCTGTCATCGGGGGTGGAATTATGGGCGATTTCATCTCTCTCTGCTGCCCTGGATTTTCCAAAGGTACAGTGATGAGCATGCATTTTTTTTCTATAACACAAATCTGAAGTTCCTCAAAGGAAAGTCTGAGTGTGGGGCTCTGGTGGGGTGGGGAGGGCTCCAGGGTCGGCGTAACCGGCAGCGTGAGGTCGCTCAGCCCCTCCTGGGCTGGAACCCAGCCTAGAACCACCTCTCCTCCCACCCCTGCTCTGTTGGTCCCAGTCCTCGGCCTAAGAATTTCCTTGTTCCAGAGACATGGCCAACTCCCGAATGAGAAGCTGCCAGACCAAGTGTTTTTCTGAGAGAAAGAGAAAAAGTAAAAATAAGACCAACCCATTTCAACAGGTTCCCTGGCTCGGGGCCCACTGTGGATTCAACACTGTGATGTAATTCTCACCAAAAGCAATAACAGGGCTGAATCTCTCCCTATCTCTGCCGCAGACCCACCCAACGGTCTGCCCTTCAGGAGGAAGGGAGTGAGTGGGAGGAGGTGGAGGGTCTGCATGGGGTCAGCGCCAGGCTGGGGCAGAGGGGCAGCTGGAAACCCAGCCTGCTCATGAACAGATCTAGGAACCAGCTCCTCAGAGCCTCCAACAACAAGCCAGAGACAAAACTATGCTGGGCTTCCCTGGGGGACCAGTGGTAAAGACTCCGCCTGCCAATGTAGGGGACATGGGTTCAGTCCCTGGTCTGGGAGGATCCCACATATTGAGGGACAATTAAAGCCTGTGTGCCTCAACTACTGAGCCTGAGTTCTAGAGCCTGGGGGCCTCAACTACTGAAGCCTGTGCGTCTAGAGCCTGTGCTCTCAAATGGGAGAAGTCACTGCAATGAAAAGCCACGCACCACAGCTAGAAAGTAGCCCCGCTGTCCACAAGCAGACGGAACCCGAGCGCAGCAATGAAGATCCAGCACAGCCATAAACAAATAATATTTTTTTTTAAAGAGATAGCACTATGCCTGTTTTACAGTTGACGAAATGAGGCTTGGAGGGGTCACCTTAGCCAGGGCCACACAGTTTCAGTAAGCAAAGGAGCTGGAATCTGATCCCTAAACCAGAATCCCAAAGAGCTTTGTTTTATACAGGTTAATTCATTCTCCTGGTTTTGAAACAATTTTTTTTTTTAAAAGTGCTCACTTTGGCAGCACATATACTAAAAAAAACAAAACCAAACAAAAGCCCCCCCCCCACAGACACATAAAGGAGTGCAAAGTAGAAGGGGATGTTTCCCATGGCTAACAACGCTGCGCTCACCCTGTTCCAGGTGACGCCTCCTGGGCAGCTGCGGGTCTCCACGCCTTGGATTGCCTGGGAGGCTACGTGGCCTCCGTCCCCCCCCACGCCACCCCCCACCNTCCCACCCCCGCCCCCCGCACACCACTCTGCAGGCATCGGTCAAGGACATGAATAACAACAGGCCAGCCCCCCTTGCTGCCAGGCGGGACAAACCATGACGTCATTCACACGCCACAGCTCCCCGCAGGATCAGGCTGCAATCAGACGTCAGCGGAACACGCACCTCTGCCTGGCGTCTCACCTCCCTCACGCCCTTACAGGTTCCTCCTGGGAGCCCTCTCTCACTCAGTCACTTACAGAAACATCTAGGCTTTGGTTCTTGGGAACTTGACCTCAGAGACACCCTACCCCTACCTCAACCTGGCTACTCTCTAGAGGTAAATTGTTGGCAGTTTCTTAAATGTAGTTTTTAACTCCCAGAAACCTCCAAGCACACGCACGTGGCACGACACCCTCCCCACTAAAAGCAGGGAGGGAGAGGTTCCTGCTGCTCACTGTCTGCTTGCCATCCACCTGCCGTCCCGACTTACCTCACCATCTCCGCACACACAGCACTGTCTACAGCTGGCGTCTTGCGGAGCAGAGGGGTGCTGGGAATACTCACATTCGCAGTGCAAGTTGGGGAGACTGATGTTCAGGCTGACGTCAATCTTGCCCCCGCTGTCCTTGTCCGGGTCATCGACGTACAGCTCGTTCACGCTGTGGGAGACACGTGCGGGAGCCTCGATGAGACGGGGGACTCATCCTGGCTGCAGGGGGCAGCCAGGGACACTTCACTTGGTGACCAAGGCTCTGATGACCTGGACCCCCAGCTGGGGGAAGCCTGGGCCTGCCCGGGCTCAGGGGAGCTGGGCTCCTGTCTCCATATGTGGTTGTGGCTTAGTTGCGAAGTCGTGTCCAACTTCTGTGACCCCATGGATCGGAGCCCACCAGGCTCCTCTGTCCATGGGGTTTTCCAGGCAAGAATATTGGAATGGATTGCCATTTCCTTCTCCAGGAGGTTTTCCTGACCCAGGGACCAAACCCGGGTCTCCTGTGCTGTCTCCTGCATTGCAGGTGGATTCTTTACCAAGGGAACTACTTTGGGAATTACAGCCCATCTCCATGGCACCCTCCAAATTCCGGCCTCACCACTTGGAAGGAGGGGAGGGGGACTGGACAGAATGATGGGAAGAGCATGGCTTTCGGAGTCAGATGATTCATTTTCCACTTGTGATCCTGCCACTTCTCTACGGAACTCAGGTAGATAACTTCACCTCTGTGAACCCTTGGATTAAACAGGGGTACCCCCACCCACTGTTCATGGGGTGTCCTGAATACTTAAATGCAAAATCAGACCGTATTAGGGATCAGGGCCTGACACCGACAGGCACACAGGTCCAGACTGCCTCCTCTCTGAGCTCCCCTGACCTGCTCAAGTGGGGGGGTCTCTGGACACTCATCCTCTCCCCAGCTCTCACAAGGCCCTGGGCCAGGCACCACCTCCAAGACATGACTAGCACACAGGTCACCTTCCTCTGGCTGCTGTTACACATTATCACAAACCTAAAGGGTTAAAACACACACATCTATTCTCATACTTCTGGAGGTCAGAAGCCCGAGATGGGTCTGTGGGCTGTGCTCCTTCCAGGGAGAATCCGTTTCAAGCTTCCAGAGGCCTGGGTTCCTGGCTCCTTCCTCCCCCTTCTGTGCCAACCACACGGGAGCTGCTCTCCTCTCTGATCTCCTCTGTCCCTCCTGTGAGGACTCTCGTGATTCCATCTACCTGATAACCCAAGATCATCTCCTGTCTCCAGACCCTTGACATAATCACATCTGTAAAGTTCCTTTTACCTTTGTAAGGTAACATACTTGCTGCTTTCGGGGACAGGGACCTGGGTGTCTGGGTGGGGCGGGGGAGGCACAGTGTGGGGCAGATCACTCCATGGACAGCTAGGCCACCTTGCTGTCGGGGACAACAGTACCACATTGGGACCTGCTAGCAAGATGCTAAGTGTTCAGTGTGTGCTGACCTATTTGATCACCAGCTGTTCTTTTATTTAAAAATATTTACTTATTGATTTGGCTGCGCCAGGTCCTAGGTGCAGCACTCGGGATATCTGATCTTTGTTGCAGCAGGTGGGATCTTTAGCTGTGGCATGAGAAACCTTAGTTGTGGCATGTGGGACCTAGTTCCCTGACCAGGGACTGAACCTGGGTGCCCAACATTGGAAGCATGAAGTCTTAGCCACTGAACCCTTAAGGAAAATCCTTCAACAAATACCTTTTGAGCATGTACTACCTGTCAAGCACTAGAGAGAGTGAGGAATCAGATAGACAAGGTCCCTGCCTTCATTTACATTTGCTCCTTGGAAGAAAAGCTATGACAACCTAGACAGTGTATTAAAAAGCCAATTTGCCGACAAAAGCCCGTATAGGCAAAGCTATGATTTTTCCAGTTGTCATGTACGGTCGGGAGAGTTGGACCATAAAGAAGGCTGAGTGCCAAAGAACTGATGCTCTGAACTGTGGTGCTGGAGAAGACTCTTGGGAGTCAAGGAGATCAAACCAGTCACTCCTAAAGGAAATCAACCCTGAATATTCATTGGAAGAACTGATGCTGAATCTCCAATACTTTGGCCACCTGATCCAAAAAGCCAACTCATTGGAAAGCACCCTGATGTTGGGAAAGATCGAGGGCAGAAGGGGGCAACAGATGAGATGGCTGGATGGCATAGCTGGATGGCATCACCAACTCAATGGACATTAGTTTGAACAAATTCCGGGAGACAGTGAAGGACAGACTGGCATGCTGCAGTCTGTGGGGTTGCAGAGTCAGACACGACTTAGTAACTGAACAACCAACAACTTCCTTCACTGAGCTGAGACACTGTTTGCCTCCTAAATAAATACGTCACCCCAACTAAGATGACTGCTTTGATGGAAAGCTTCAGGGTGCTGCGGGAGGGACTCACGGGGTGATGGACCCCTGGGGAGAGTGAGCTGGGAAGGTGTCTGAGGAGATGAGAGATGAGGTCTGAAGGATGAGGAGGCTGTCCTGGCAAAGAGGGAGGGAGAGTCGTTGGGACCTGTGCAGAAACCTGGAAGCAGGGAGGGCAGGGGTCATTTGGGGAAATGCATGAAGGTCGCCATGGCTGCAAAGCAAAGGGAAATGGGCGTGATGCAGTCAGAGAAGGGGCAGAGGCCAGGTTAGGTGGGCACAAGGCTCCATGAGGCCTTCAGACTAGATCCCAAGCACAGCAGTGTGGTCTGGCTGGCACCTTGATAGGATCTGTCTGGCAGATTCGAGGATGGCCCAGGGGGTCCCCGTGCACCAGGGAGACCCGGGAGGCTGCTGCTGTGGTCAGAGGTGGCAGCCTGGACCCGGTGTCCAGGAAGATGGAAAGGAGGGAGGGACGCAGGGTACCGGGCGTGGGGCAGCCAGGACTCGCCAATGGACAGGGCGTGGGGGTGGGTGGAGGGAGGCATGTTAGCAGATGGCCACGTTTCTTTCTGGAACCACGTGTTATGCTGGGAGCCCCTGAGAGAGGGAGCCCAGGACTACTGGGGAAGGAAAAATACCAAGTTCCCTACGGCTGTGCAGAGCTCAAGGCCACTCGGAGACATCCTCGAGGAGGTGCTGAGTGGACACCAGGCGGCTTCGGCTGAAGCCCACCTCTGATTCCAGGTCACTCCCCAGTGAGACAGCACCAGCTCTAGAGATCAGCCTAATGGACAGTGCATGAGGCAGCTGGGCTGTGGTTATTTTAAACATAAGTCAGGCCCTGTGGGCCCTGTCCATAGACTATAACATAGAGGACTGTTGGCTCCAAACAACTGGATTTTAAAGACAGCCTTGTGAATGATGACTTCTTTGGGAAAGAACGAGTCAGGCTGGGGCAAAGGCACTTCATTTTTACTAAGACCCTGTCTTTGTGTCCCTAGCTCCTAGTGTAATGTCGCTGATGCTCAGTTAACAAGAAAAGGTAGGCTCGGAAAGATACCTGGGGCCTGTTTCCTTGGGAGTCACAGGACGTGCTCAGAGACGAGAGAGCAACAGAGCCGGCTTAGCCTGCAGATGGCTGCGCCTGCAGCCCAGGGAGCCAGGAGAGGCCCAAACAGGTCTGCACACGTTCACGTTATCCCATCTGCTCCGGGGAAACACCCTGATCTCCATTTTATTCTCTTTTGGGCCATGTCACGTGGCAGGTGGGATCTTAGTTCCCTGACCCGTACCCCCTGAAGTGGAAGTGTACAGTCCTAACCACGGGACCACCAGGGGGTCCTTGATCTCCGTTTCAGAACCAGGAAACTTGAGGCGCAAAGAAGGTGAGCCCCTTCCCCAAAAAGAGTCAGTCAAGGTGGAGCCCCAAGTCAGGTCTGCCTTCCACCAGCCTCTCAGGGCTCACACTGCCTGCCCTCCCTCCCGCCCTCAGCATCCAGGCTCAAGGGAGGAACTGAAGGGGGCCTGGCCCTCTGAAGCCGCCAGGTGTGAGACAGGGGATGGGGCTGGGCTTGGCCCACATGAGCGATCAGGAGGAACAAGTGAGCCACTGGCAGGGGAGCGACCAGGACCACAGGAGCTTACGCTGGAGGAAGGCTAACTTGTTCACAGCCAAATGCTCCTTCTCAAGCCTTCAGTGCCCCATTTCTATAATTCGCAGCCCCACAGGGTTGCTGAGTAACAAGGTCACTGGGTGCTTAACAGAACATCACAGAGGAAGAACCCTCCGCTTCTCTTCCCAGCTTCTTAAGACTCTTCCTTGAAGCGACTCACCTGGGAGGCGGGGCCGCTGCCTGTCGCTGATGGCCTGTGGGATGATGTCACCCCCTGGCAATCCTCCGGAGGTGACCTCAGCGCACAGTGAGGCGCAGCCCAGGTGTGGCGCCAAGGTGAGCTCACCCCGGAGGCTCCAGGAGGCCTCTCCCTGGGGCTGAAGTGCCGCCCCTGGACAAAGAGGCCGAAGGACTGGGGAGGGGCTGGGAAACTCACTGGCCTGAGGGCTGGGGGCCAGCCTGGTTACATAAGGCTGGGACTGGCTGCTCCCAGGCGCCTTTCTGAAGGGCCCAGGGCTGCAGGATAAACACAGCTCAGTCACCTGTCCGCCCGCCTGATGAGGTCAGTACAGCCGCCTTTCACACCCAGGGAGAATGTTCCAGGGACCCTGGGCTCCTGCCACCGCCTGCCAGGCTGCAGGCCTGCCCCCAGCACCGATCACGGGCGCCTGCCAAGCCAAGTTAACCGCTACCGGCCAGACTGACTCCGACAGGCCACTCTATGTTACACGCGTACCTTGATAAAAAGAAGGAGAGAGAAAACAGGAAAGGGAGGGAGAAAAGGAGAAAAAGAGGGCCGGCGGCTCCAGTGACTTCACAGGCGTGTTTGAGGGTCGGTGTGAGGCGGCGGGCTGCCCTGGACAAGCGGTGTGTGTCACTCCTGCGTCTGAGGGGCTAGCACAGAGCACAGGCCCTGCCGGGCAAAGACAGCAAGACTGCGCGACAGACCTCCAGGCTCCCGGGGTTCAGCTCCTAGCTCTGCCACCCACGGGCTGATCTTCTACAAAGGCCTTTCCTTCTTCACCCACTGTTTTCCCAGACACAACGGGGACACACATACACGCCTGGTGAATGTCCACTACGCTTACTGTTATCATCGTAATGTTCACTGAGTTCAAAGTCCCAGGGACAGCGACAGGATCCACTTCACAGCCTTGTTGAGA